CTCTTTTTGAAAATTTCATAAGCGTAACAATCAGCTGGAAAGATCGAGGTGCTTTTTTTTTCAGATTTTTTAACAATTTATCGTTTAGCAGCTAGTCAGTATTCACTTTTATTTTGAAATAATAGGTAAATTTATGTTTTTCAGAAATTTTAATTATAAATATCAAAACTCTAAATTGTAAATCTTAAAAAAACAAAAACAAACAAGGAGTGCCGAGTATTCTGCCTATTTTTATTAATAAAAAGTAGTATAGAAGATCAACTATTCCGTTTCATCCAGTCGATATTAGTTAATTGAACTTTACTTCTCTGGATCGAAGTAGTCAGGTATCATTTAGTCAATCTTAGAAAGATGAGAGACGAACTTACAGTTACATTATTGGTTCTGATCTAGCAGAAAGCTTTGAACATCATTGATTATAAAAGGAGAGAATCCAAAATAACCAAAATGTCGATTATGTACGGCTAAAATAATTATTCGTCGAATGGGATAACACGGAACACATGGAACGCATTCATTAGGATGACAATAAACAAATTCATGAGACTGGGCAATCCTTCTATATTAACTACAAAGTCGTACAGAATATATATGTTGACTTAGGTAGTTTTGCTCTAATATACAAAGAAAGCATGAGCCATTTAGGATAGCAATATATTTTTATTGCTTGGACAACTATTTTTAGTGAAAGCCATAGCTGCTCCTTGTAATGCTAGCGTGCCGCCCATGCATACATGATTCATGTAGAGCATGAAAAGAAAATAAAACAAGTCTCATAAAGCATAAATATTCTTCTAACAACTACTGTAATGCACATGGTCTGGAATAGAATTATCATTGTTGTCAACCTGTCTATGAGAATGAAAATTAATATGCGTAGAAAGATTGAGATACCACTTTATCATGATTGAAATGATTTTTGCAAAGTGCAACTTAATCTCGCTGTCATAGCATTGCCCATATAAGTAAGGAATTTTTAATAAGGCATTTATATCGCATTGACTTAGAGGCGAAAAACAATCGTTTTAGTTCTTGCCTATGAAAAGAATATCAAATTAGGTTTCACATTAACACTAGTAATAATGGTTATGAGCATCATGAAAGATCGCAAATTTACTATCCCATATTTCTTTTGATAGTCATCTGAAAATTATTTATCAAAATAGATAAATTATACGTTAGCTTGGTATCGTTAATTGTAGTTTTTTTCTTGAAAAAGTAAAAAATCTGTACAATGGCTTCGAATTACACCAATGAATCATCGTTCGATGATACAGATGTTTCTATTCCTCATTCAGTTCGTTTCTAGTTATTTATTATTTTCAATATTTTGTTTCTAGCATGCTTTCTTTTACATCTTTATTATATGCTCATCAAAAGTGTTCAATGTCGTGCATTAAATAATCATTCAATTATTGCTATTCTTTTTGCTGGATTTGGTACTCAACTAATTGATGTTCTCTTCTATATGAATTTTGCTCGTTTGGGGTATAATTTGGCCTCAAACACCGCTTATTTGTAAACTCTGGTGGTATTTTGATACAGGAATTTTTGAAACAACAATCATACTCGTTACTTGGATGTCATTCGAAAGATATATTCTTATTTTTCATGAAAAATAGTTATTGATTCGAAAAGATCGACGGTTCTTGCATTATTTGTCCCTGATATTTTTCAGTTTCTATCCATTACTGTTTTATTTACTAGTTTTAATCATGATTAAATGTGATGAATCAGACTTATATGATTACACACAAACATGGTCTACGTTCCAACCATGCTATTATAAGAATGAATTCGTTTTTTTATGGGACATCTCGGTCAATGCAGCATTATGTAACGTTATGTCTATATTCTTTGATGTAACTCTTATCATAGGAGTTTTCTAGCAAAGACATATTCGATTACAAGAGCCGATGAAATGGCGGAAAAATCGTAAAATGCTTATACAACTGTTATCAATTTCCGTTGTCTGCTTGAGTTTTTCTACACCTATTTTTACTTATTATTTAATGGACGCTCTTAGAGTTTTATCAGAGAATGTACACACTCATGTGGAACTATATCTGTTGGCCATAGATCTATTTTCAATTTTACTATTGCCATTTTGTTTGATTGTTTTACTTCTGAAAGAGTATTGGTGGAACAAACGGAAAAAGATGTTGTTCGGTGAACGACAATAATGATCAGTAGTCCCTAGTAAAGTAATGCTAGCCATGATTACATACGGAACAATCAAATCATGATCTCATGCATTCTCATAGACAATAGGCAGATATGGTCAAAGATAGCTGAATGATTAAAGAAACACAGGTTTTCCCAATTGTTGCATGTACGGTTTGGCCAATCCGATGATGATTGATGGTGAAACGGGACACTGTTATTTTTGAAAGAGAAGAATCGTGTCCATCAGATGTGACTCCTTTTCTTTGGTAAGAATTGTTTTTCTAACACAATCGGTACCAGTTCGACTTCCAGCAAGCCTGTGGAAGATTGTTCGAATAGGTATGTGGTAATGAGCAGCGGGGTTTTTCACCATTATTTTTCTCGAATATCCAAAAGTGCTCGATCAAGATCATTTTTGTGCACTTCTCTTGCGTCTTACGCTGGTGAGTTCGTAGGATCATTAATTGTTCCAGTGATTCAACACAATGAAGTGAAAGCATGATAAAAAAAAACGTGACGCACAGAAAACAATGCATGTTCATTCGTCAGCCATTAATTATCGATCGGAGTCTAACTCGTTCGAACGATTGTCCTTTTCTTAATGATTCATCATTGTCTTTATACTTCCCAAGCAGACAAACATTAAAAAATAATGCGTTTAAACACGTTTAGATTCCGTAATAACAGCGTTTAAACGGCATTATTCTGCCATTTTCAAACGCGTTAAAACACGTAACCTATCTGCAACGTGTCAAAACCTGTAATTTTTTCAAAATTTACGCGTTTTTCTGTTGTTGTCGCTATTCCTTTTACGAGTTTAAACGCATGCACAAGCCTAAATATATTTTGATACGAGTCCATGTTAAATACAACTTGACTTATTTTTTTTCCTTTGAAACTAGGTTACTACTTGCATCTTCTGTACACTATAATTCACTTACTAAACAAAACTAAGCTTTTTTATGTTAGTATATTGTCTCATGAAAGTTAAAACATAAATAGACAAATTTTAAGATAGTATGTTTCGTATCTATGAAGTATGCGACTAGGAATTGATATTTGAACTGATGTCCGACTTGATGAGAATTTATTTATAAACTTTAACATGGAAAAAAATATTTAAAACATACTTTTATAAGTTTTATTTTCCTCATATATGATAGATTCCATTTCATAGTCTTCATTGATCTTTATTAAATCTAATTCATGATATAGTGTTTTTTCAAATTTATGTTCGAGTCTTATTTGCGTAATCTTTAATCTTATTGTTAAATGACCTTTTATATATTGATCGTTATCAGAAAGAAATCTTTTCTTTTAAAATGCACTCCTGTTTCTGTACGTAAACAATAACTAATAAACAGGCTAGGCATTAAAGTTAAGGACATTTCTTTATATCCGTTATGGCTGGTCATACTATGACAATATCTTCTTTAATTTTTTGTATTAGTTAATACTAACAACCAATCATTTGATGTTGTTCACCGCTTTTCTCGCGAAACATTACCTATAGTATTACTAGGAAACATGTAAAATAATATTTTTTTTCAGACAAAACAGAAGATATTATCAAACAGATAAGTAGGAAAGGTATATAAGAAAACGTGTTCAAACGCGTTTATTTGCCTCATCTCTGCAGAGGATCCACCGCACACTTCTACAACTCGTATACTCTTTAGACACTTTCACTACATTTTAAAATCCTATTCTAAATATTTTCATAAGCATCTTTATATCAGTTTGAGTAGATAACAAGAAGGGAGAAAAAAAAATCTATCTCGCAACTAGTATCTCCCACATGAACATATTCTTTTCTGTTTTTTCTCATTATTTCGCCAATCGATTTCTTTCATTCAAATTCTTTCTTTCTTGGGTTTATTCTTTTTTTCATAGTTTTCTTTTATGCAGTAACTCATATTTCTTTCATTCGAGTAGCTTTATGATATTATTTCTGCTAGATAATCTATTACATGCATTATGCTGCAGAAATATCCTCATACACATAAGTTTTCTTTTTATCCAGTCAAGATAGGATAAGCATAGCTATAAGAGAAAGATTCTTGCGTAAAGAAAAAGAAATAAGTTTAGTACATTAGTCAACCTTGTGTTAAATTATTTAATCATACGAACAGTTGACTTAGCATCAACAACTATATCAAGTTTCCTTTTTTTTATTCACTCTCTTTCATAACAATCAATTTTTTATTTTTTTTATTGCGGTCATAGATTCGTAGCTAGACAACAGTAAAATAAGAGAATAGTTGATGACTTCAAAGCATATTTTACATTAGAATAGAATATTGTTAGACGATAAAAAAAAGAATGTTACGGAACTTGAGTATATTTCAGTTATTTATCCACATATAATTAATTCCAATTAAAATAAAGTAGCTAAATTTTATAAGGTAGAGAGACAACTCAACACGTCGTGATCACTTGAGAGTTAGAAAAAATATAGTCTCAACTAGCTCTCAAATGATCACGACGTGTTGAGTTATCTCTCTACCTTATAGTATCTGTTTTATTCAAAAAATAACACATGTAAAAACCCGTTTAAAATATGAAACGAAAAAATTTTCGTAAAAACCGCACATTTAAACGCGTTATGAGTGCATAGTACTATCTAACACCATAAAAACGTTGTTCGAAATAGCACAGCGTTACTAACGCGTTTTTTTACTAGTTTTGTCTGACTGGGTAGTTTCATTAATATTAGATTTCTTTAACGAATGAATGCTATGAAAAACAAAAGTTTTGTCATTTTTCATTTATAAAGATCGTTATTTCATATATAAAAATTTCATTTTTTTTTCTTTCTTTTAGAAGAGTTTGTCATGTTGCGTACATTAAATTATCAGAAACACAATTCAAATGTTTATTTAAATACTCCATTTATTTATTTGGGTACATTTAAAACACGATCAACAACAACAACAACAACGACAAATGATCATTATCGTTTTTATTCAAATGAAACAGATTTGAGAATATGCATGACCACAATTACACCTATTGTTACTTGGCCTTTACCTTTATTTCAACAAATTATTTCTTTATCCATACATAAACAAAAAAAAATTCATCACTATGGAACAATTTATTGAAGATTGGTAAGAAGAACAATCATTTTATGTCATATATAGATGAATTTTATTGTATTTTTTTCTTTATTTTATTGGTTTAGTTAACTTTCGTCAAACCGATGATGATGATAATGATGATGCACAAGAAAATGTTACTTATCTTTCATATTTTGTTCATTTACCCAATATAACTCAAATAGAATTTGGAACAAAGTATGATATATCTCGATGGAAAGATATTCAGTTTATTCTAGAGTAAATATTATTTATATATTTATAAACAACAAATAATTTCTATACAGTTATGAATTAGATTGAATATTAAGTAATCTTATTAAATATTAATATAATAATTGTATTTGTTTTTGTTTTGTTTTAAAGAATATCCAAATTTGATTAATTTTATAATTAATACTCGATTATTAGTTTTTTCCAACTTAATTGATAATCAATCACAGAAAATATTTATTTTCCTGCAAATTTTGTAACAAAATTTGTTCAACGTTTTCCATCACTTAGTCATATTGAACTTCAAGTATATTCGTTCGATCAATGTGTATCTATTATTGATATATTTCTTAATCTTCTGAAAAACTTGTGTTATATTAAAATTAAATATTATCGAGACACATTACTTGATAATCCATATTTACGTGACTGTATTATTAGAGAACATCGTCAACAATTTCCCAACAATATTCTTCATGAACAAATCATTGATGTTAAAAATAATGAACAAACTATAGAAATTTGGTTATCATGAATTTTTATTTATATTAAGGTTTCTTTTTGTTTTTGTTTTATTTTCTTAGCATAACAAAAAAACATAATAGTATAATTAGAAAATAAAAGCATTCTTTTCTATATTCTGGGTATCAAATTTTAGCTTATTCCTCATTTATATATAGGATTTTCAAGACTAGATAAAAATTCGCTGATGTTTTGTGGTTTTTCAAAGACAGAATCTGCGAAAAGTGCAAAGTATTATTGTCAATTATGATCTAAAGTGATCTTGGAGTGTAAAAGAATAGATATTTGAAATTCTTCAGAACGTCAAAGACACTAACAGAATGTATGTTAGGACATGGCACACATCGTAGGAACACATTATAGACGATGGCAAACACCTTTCTGAATTCATTATAGATTATGAGACATTTGCTTAAAACTCATCAAATATCATGACTGAATTTTTAGAGAAGACATCAGAGGTCGTGAAAGACCTCATAAGAACAAATCACATACTTGAACAAATACTTTCAAAACATATGAGATACTTTGGCACGCATCTTGCGAACCCATTACAAACCACAAATGACAACTTGGAAATTAATTACACAGCATGCATGACAGACGACTAATGAACGTATTTTAGATCGTAACAGACACATGAGAAATAATCAAAATTTTTGAGAGACATCTCGACAACTGATTACAAACTGTGGTAGACATCGTGAGAATGTGCATCACAGACAAAGACGTCTGTACCGTAGAAATGTTGAACCTTAGTGTTCCGGATCTTAACAAATGTTATTGACATCTGATGAAAGACCATAAATCAATAACGACTTATTGTAACGTATGACCTGCTCTCTTTGTTGCTTGTTTTACAAAATCAAGTAAAGAAAATGTTGAAGATACATATCCAAAAACAGATTGAAAAAAAGCAATGGTAGTGTGAGTAGTAAATTGATAGCTATATGGTATTTTGATTTTTAGTCTCATAGGCATTACAATATATCATCAAGACTGTTGGTTGTTTCTCTCTCTTCGTCATTATTCATCATTTTTTCAGAATGTGTTCCTGCCTTTATGATGACTATTTAACATGTAAACAGACTCAAAAAGATACATATTCAATTTTTCATAATTGCAGATAATGTCAAAATGTTTTTTCTTGTTTTTCTTTTTTGTCCTTTGTTACGACGGCATTTATTTTTGAAAAAAATACCGTAAAAGTGCAGTATCTTCACAATAATAAACTAAGGAAAAAGAATTTTTTTCAATGTATTCATAGCTCATTTGGATCCATATAATGTTCATTGTCTTGACTTAAAATCAATTTATGAGTAAGACAATTTTCTCAGTACATTTGTTTACCTTGTATTACCAATCATTCTTACGAAATTATATACAAATTAAGATCCAAAAAGAGTTGTATTGGTTTCGTTAGACTTATTGTATATGATCAATTTCTTCTATTTACTACCAATGACAGAAATTAGAATTCGTTTTTGAATATACTTAAATGATATGTTATTTTTTGAATTTAAATACACACAGATATATATATATGTTCAACAAATATGTGGATATGAAAAGTTGATGAAAATTAAGAATAAAACTAATTTAGGATCAATAAAATTTGTTTTGAAGCTTGGCAAAATTGTCGAAATAGAACTGTATTGTCTTGGAAGTTTAATCATGGATAGAATTCGACGAACACTTTTCACAAGCAGGCGTCAGTTCGAGCACTATCGCTTTAGTTCAGTTGAGATAGAAAGTCAATATCGAGATTTGCTGCTTCTTCTATTCCTAGTAAAAGTTTTTCGTCATTTGACTCGAATATCGGATTAGAATTAAATTTTGACCTTAAAAATAGAATTAAAAAACACTCCCATCGTCATGCACTAGTCTCTGAATTTTTAAAAATTGAAATAATCATTTATTAAGCTTAAATCTATCTGTTGAGTGCGGTTTCATGTTAGTGTGAGCAAGGATAAGACCTACATACAGCTATCGAAAACTATTTCTCTATTTATAATACTTAGAATATGTGATAATATTTGAAAATGAAATTTTAGTCTATATCAAATAGATATGCGACGATATGATATTTTGCTGATATTTCTAACAAAATGAATCTGATAATTCTATTGATGTAGTTTATGACGCAGCTTAGACAATATTTAATAAGCGCTGATTCTGGTAGTTAAAGAATCAATATATTTTTTTGTAGTAAGGTACACGAATATTAATTTTATTCTTACAATTCTGATAATTTCTTCTATTATCCGAACAAAGCTGTCTCTTATATATATTGCACATTTTATTAAGAAATATAAAAAGTCTTTCGAAATTCTATACATTCGTCTTAAGCACATTTATTTCCATTTTTAAAATTAAAACAACGACAACCAACATTTGGAATACAACTTTCACCAACTAAGCAACATTGAGTTTTATGTGGAGCATAAGTACATTTCTTTTGATTTGGTGGACAATCTTTAATTTGAGATGAAACTTTTTTATTTGATGCTAAAATTGGATCAATAACTGATTTCCAATCATCAAGTGACCATGCTGAATTTGCACTTATGGTTACACCATTAATAAGAAATGTCGGAGTACCAACAACACCTAAATATGATAAGAAAATTAAATTTATTTTCATTATTCGTTAAATTCAAATTACCTCTTGAGCAAGCATATTTCCATGAAATACGTGTTTCATCATTAATATCATCACTGGCCATACCTGCTAAAAATTTATCTTTTGATATTAAACCAATTTTATCAATATATGTAGCAAGTGAATCAATAACTTGTGGCATAGTCATTGATTTCGTTGCATCATTATACCACATTTGTTGATTTTCAAATACTTTAGTTACATATTGAAAAATAGCATCAAGATTTCGATTTGTAACATTAGCAACAACATGTAAACCTTGAGAAGCGACAAATGAATTTGTATGATATGGAAGTGGAAATGTATGAATTCGAACATGAATTCGTGTAGCATATGCTTGAATTAATTGTAAAACAGTTGGCCAAGAAGCTTTGCAACCTGGACAAAGAGGATCAAAAAACATTTCTACAACAACATGAGCATCAGCTGGTCCACCAACACCATATCCATCGGGACGTGATGGAATAGGCACTTGAGCTGATATAAAACCAACATAAACTACAGCAAGTATTATAGAAAAAATTGTTCGTTGCATTAGTTTTCTTTTGTTAATATGTCTAACAGCACACACTAGAAGGTTTTTTTGTTGTTTGTTGTATATATAAACAAAAGATAAGGCAAGAATATAACAGTATATGTCATATATCATCATGACTAGCAAGAGATTATTTTTTCTTATCATATCAACAATATTTTGCTTAAAAAATATCTAAACTAAGATTGTATCATCACGTGTGAACTTTATAATTTGAATTATTTTATATAAAAAAACAAAACAAAACAGAAGAACATAATTTTTATGTGAATCTTATATTCTCATGATCAATATATGAAATCAAACATATTACAAATTCTTGTCAGATATAATTTGCTTTATTAATAGTATATAATCATGATGTTCAACATTATACTGTAAAATAATTGATTCAAGAAGATCATATGTATAGCTAGACAACAAACTGATGGCAATCTGTATAGTATTAGTATATCATAGTTACTTATAGATTCTTTTGATTGGTGACAACTTATCTGTGTTTTCATTACATTTCTTTTTACAATCGTTGAAAACATATTTGATGTACTGAGATTAAGCAATTGTATATTTACTTAAAGATCTGAATTTGATCTTATGTAGATATAAATCGAATGATGTACATAAGAAATGTGTTTTTTTTTCATTAACACAAAAAGAAACGAATGATATCATAGATTTGAAATTCATATTTGATAAAAATCTTTTATTTTCTTCTACTTTATTCACACTTCACAATCACATTCTTACGAATTATTTTTAATGCATATCTAATGATCTCGAAGTTGTATACTATTCAGATTTTACAATTTATAAAGTTACTTTGCATTTGGACAGGAAAAAGTTTTTTCATTATTGAAAGATATTTATTAGTTTTCTACATCATCAGTATTAAGGTGCATGTGAAAATACATCTTTTAATCTAATGGTTATACTTTAAAGCAGTATATTAAATGAATTTTACATGGATGCATATAAGAGAAAATACATGTAAAGTTATCATGAGTACTTTTTGTTACCCAGTCAACTTGACAACCAAAATCTGTTAATAAGCGCATGCACGCCCACATCATGCTTATCTGTATTTGCTCCTTTTCTTTGCGTATGAGACAAAAGATACTAGAGTTTTACGTCAAAGAAAGAATATAAAATATGATCAAATTTCTACGTCGTCACTTGAATAAAAACATACCGGGTCATAATACTTCATTTATTCAAGGATGTTTTTTGCTAAAATGCATAGCAAAATAATGATATTGCTCCTGTTATTGGGGGCTATTGATATTATCTATACAACTCAATCAAGATCAAATAAATTAATTCAAGATATTTGTGATACATTGTATAGCAGTAACAGTCTTCCACTAGATGAAAATCAACAATGGGAAGTTATCTGTCAAGAATTATTCCATTCAAAAGATGATGATCAATATGCTAAAGAAGAACAACGTAATACAATGGATGGTAAGTATCCGAAGTAAATTTAGAGAGAATAAGTCTCAATTTCTACTTTTTTTCGAAATTCATTTACTTCAATAAAATTTCTATAACTTTGATGCATTTCAATCTAGAAAATATTTCTCAAAACAACCCATTATCAAAAGCTATAAGAATTTCAAGCGGCATTCGCATTGGCGGAATTCGCACTGGTGGTGGTATTCGCACTGGTGGTGGTATTCGCACTGGTGGTGGTATCCGTAACCCAATCCGTACGTCTCCTTCTATCACAAGATATACCAATACTCGTACAGGTGCAACAATATCTCGTCCAACCGGATGGATATGGAGTCGAACTCGGTTAATGTTTCTTCCATTAGCTACAAGATATTTTTATCGATCTTATTCATCATCTAATCGATACACAACACCAGCTACTAGTTCACACACTTATTATTATTGTACATCAGGTAATAATGCTTCAGCTGAAGTTCAATGTAGTTCGATTAATGGTGATTCACAGTGTTGTGAAGATCAAGAAGGTCAACATGTATTTTGTTGTGGTGGTGCTATTCCAGAAGATTATGCTGAAGATATGAATCGAGCAACAAAAAGAATAGCACAACTATTTTATACTCTTACTGCACTGACTTTATGTATGCATTTGTTTGTACGACGTTTTTATCGATGATTTTTAAATTGAAAAAAAAATTAATAACTGTATGTTAATGTCTTCGTGTAAAGTGCAGTATCAATTACATTTTGAAAATTTGAATATTTTATTTTATTTTTTCATTAATTCTATAGAGAAAACAATCAATTTTCGATTAAGAGTAATCCTAGAATTTTGTGATAAAATAAATGAATATACCATGCAATTATTAGTTTATCTTTTGCACATATTCTATTTAAATCTATTGATAGAAGGGGAAGATTTATCATTCAATAGAGGGTAGTTATTGAAGTTTTCGTTCTCTGAAATGATAAGTTTGATTTTTGATTGTTTCAATAGTTCTCACTGATTCTCGTACTATCAACATATCCAATTTTTGTATTCTGAAAGACAACAGATAGTGTTGTGAAATTCTTGTCGAAATAATTCACTTGTCAAACAGTGAACATAAAATGTTGTCTGACATGAAAAATAAATTAAGCTTGATTTATTTCAGAGTCGATATCACTAAAGCCTTTCTTGCAGCATAATTGATAGATGCAACAATATTGAAAATAGATGTTAATTCAACTGTGTGAATCATCGAACGACGATATCGAATAACGAGTGAAACAGAATATCAAATACACTTAATCAGATTCGAATTCGAAAAAAAACATAAAAATATTCTTGTTAACACAATTCTTAATATTTGTCGATCAGCATACGTACGATGACGATTCTGCTTTAAATTTTGTTTTAATTTTTGTTGTGCTTGAAGACGAATAAGCATATCATTTGTTACCAGCAGAAGAATAATCGTGGATAAAAGAGTTTGTTAACATGTTAATAAAATGCTCCATATCTACTGCATAATAAAAACAAATGAATGAATTCATTATTTCTGTGTATTACGTCAAAGATATATCTATCGAAAGAAAAATGAAAAAGTTGCATTCGATATAGGAGCACAAATATTTGCTCTTAGTCGATTGAGTTCTCAATAATGGTAAAGCTAACTAAGAGCTAAATGTAATGGTAGAAATAAGAATAATCACTGTTCCAAATAGTACCTATTCTTTTGTAGATATTTTTTTGTTTTGAAATGGAAAACAAATATGAGGTTATCAATCAATAGAAATAACTCAAAGAATTCAAGCTAAAGAACATATTGTCATCGATTAAATAAGTGAGCAAAAACGACAAAGTACATTGGATAGAATACAATTTATTTTCAGAATTGATATGTGAGAGATTGATGTCAATATGAGCAGAATCATAAAAACATCTTAATAAATAGATATTATCAAATATGGCCATACAAATAAGCAGGCAAGTTGTTGATACGTCACGAAGTGTATGTTGAAAAATCATGATAATACTGTTGGTGTGAATAAAATATCAGAAAAATATAAGTGTACACAGTTCGATTTTGTATACGAGAATTAGGCTTTTGTTTCGAAATAGTGATATAGAAAGACATATTTGAAATAGAACAGGACTAAAGCGTATATTTGTTATTTACTTCGTTAGACTTCAACGTGTTTCTCTGTTTGAAATATCACCATATAACAGGTGAACTATGATCAAAGCTCGCATTTTATGTTTTATATTTTAATATATAAATACATCTTAAGCAAAAACGAAATGTACCAAAACATGCAACGCGAACATCTCTACAATCTTTAAAGTACCACTTATTTCAATTGTGACTGTTTTGTTTTCAAAATACAGTAAATTTCGTGCAGCCAGTTTTCAATGATTTGCACATGATCCATTTTAATAGATGATCAATTCACTTTTTTTTCTCTCATCGATGAAAGACAATTCTATTTATTGACGAAAAATATTCCTCATTAGAGCATGCTTATGCAGTCAGTTGAAAAGAAACAAACAAACAATAGAATATTCATCAAAAGACTCAGTC